CCAGGATGCGTCAGAAGGTGCGGAGCTAGAGCCCGAAAAGCCTGATCACCAGGTCTCAATTGCACATTCTCGTGAACCGTCTGCTGCTGGAGAGGCTGCAGAACGGCAGAGAAGCCAAGGCGACGGGAATTCAAGTTTTCCCGCGATTCCCGTAGCTGCGGCTCCCTCGTTCTTTACCTCTTTCGGATCTTCCGCAGAGAGCAGTGAGGCGACTGGAAACTTCCAGGATGCGTCAGAAGGTGCGGAGCTAGAGCCCGAAAAGCCTGATCACCAGGTCTCAATTGCGCATTCTCGTGAACCGCCTGCTGCTGGAGAGGCTGCAGAACGGCAGAGAAGCCAAGGCGACGGGAATTCAAGTTTTCCCGCGATTCCCGTAGCTGCGGCTCCCTCGTTCTTTACCTCTTTCGGATCTGCTGCAGAGAGCAGTGAGGCGACTGGAAACTTCCAGGATGCGTCAGAAGGTGCGGAGCTAGAGCCCGAAAAGCCTGATCACCACGTTGCAGTTGAGCCTTCTGCTGAACGATCTGCTGGAATGCCTATACAGCAGAAGAGTAACATCTCCGGTGCGATTTCGAGTAATCCGCCATCGTTTTGGAGTAGTATTGGAGCTTTCGCGAAAATGTTTGTCTTGGATGCCTGCCAGCATCAGCCCTCTACTGAGAAGGATCCTAGTTCAGCCTTGGTGGCAGAGGCAGCTACTAAAAAATGCTCACCAGGCGTATGTGAACAACAGCGCGAGTCGGTGAAGTCGATGACGACCTCTTCTTGCATCGCAAAAGCTACAGAGGAGCCTCACAGAAGACAAAGCAGTTTTCCAGGAGGATATGCCAAAAGTTGCATCGCAGCAAAGAAGCCTGTACGAACTGGCAGTAGTTTCGGTGACTTGCGAACGGCTTTTCAGGACGCAGCAGACCAGTGCTTCTCCGATCCGCTCACTCCTTCGAAACGTCTTACAACGGGAACTCCACAGTTTTCCGGTTGGAGGAAATCCTTCAGTCGAACCGCCAGTAGCGGTGAACTTTCCAGAAGCTGGAGCCCTGCGCATCCGTTAGTGCAGCTGCAGTCCACCGGAACAGCACAGTGCGGCCTCAGATCACTTAGTAACAGCACAGAACGGCTGTTCAGTGGAGAGTCCGTCACTTTGGAGACGTCGCAAGATTTTCATGACTGCCGTCTTGCTGGATCACGGCAGATCTCCCGGGTTCCGTGGCCGGGCGCACCAATTGGAATTGCGCGGTGCAAATCAAAGAGAGTCGCAGAAGCCTCATCAGAAGAAAGCGAAGCAAAAAATGAGCTACAGACGAAGCAAACAGTTTCAGCAGAGCCTGTTTATACACGGGCTTGCACTGTTCCTGAGCCTCAGCAGCACTGCTGCAGCCACGAGACAGGAATTCCTGACGCAGCACGATCTGCCGGCCAGGAGGCTCCAGGCACTTGCGCGCTTCTGGGAAAGCAGCGGATGCTTTCCACCGAAATTAAAGAAGGCCATCAGGAAGAGGACTTAAAGGAGGATAGCCGAGGATGCTCCAGAGAAGACTCTAGAGAGCATCATTCAGGGGAGCAGCAGACAGCCCCCGCAGGGCCGCTGGGCGCCTCTTCTGGCCTTGAAGCCAGCAGCAGGGGAGATGGGCATTCGGCGGCTAGTGGCGCTGCATGCAGTAGCGGCGTTGCTTCTGAGAACGAAGGAAGCGACAGCAGCAGGAGAAGGGGAGGAAGCAGCAGCAGTAGCGAAAGCAGCAGCGAGAGCGACGAGTGCAGCAGTGGCAGCGAGTCGTGCAGCTCCGTCTCCGACAGGAGCAGCAGCAGCAGCAGCAGCAGCTGCAGCAGCAGTGAAAGCGGGGCGAGCAGCAGCGGAGAATCCCGCAGAAGCCCCAGCAGAGACTCCACAGCTTACGAAACTTGGAGTTCCTGTAGGGAATTTGGCAGCGCGGCCTTCAGCGGCGTAGGCGGTGAGTCAGTTTCACCAGGAGCTATGCAGGGCCAAATATCGCGTCCTTTTGTTTTGGTTTCTTCCAGATTTATTCCTGCAGATGAACGCGGGAGCAAATCGGAAGAGGGGGACTTGCAAGAAGAAGAGGAAGCAGCTTCAGAGAAGTTGCATTGCAGCAGCAGCAGTGGCATGCGGGTGCTGGCGCCCTCACCAAAGGCTGAGATCGGAGAGGCGAAAGCAGCTCTTGAGCAGCAGCAGCCTGCTGCTGCCAGCAGCCCTTCTTCCAGGAGCAGCGGCATCCACCCAAGTCCTGCGCTGCCTAGTGTTCCTGCTGCAGCAACACAGAAGCAGCCATCTGCTGCGGGGGGCTTCGCTGCTGCGCTCTCCTCTTTAACTCATTTGATGTTCACTGCTCGACAGCCGCCTCCGGAGGACACTGACACTGCTCTGCAGTCTTGTGACCAGCGGAGCTCGGCTGCTGCTGGCGCGGCGGCTGCTGCTGCTTCTGAAGGAGCCACAGGGCGAAGTCAGGACTCAACTGGGCTCTTTGAAGAGGATCAAATCGCCACAAATACTCAGTGCAGTTCTTGCAACTTCAGTTATCCATGCGATTCTCGAGAAGGCGTCCGCAGGCAGCTCAGTGCAGGCCAGAGCCATGACGCAGGAAGGAATACCCACTGTATGGAAAGCCACTCGCGTGGAGAAAGCTCACGGCAGCAAACAGAGCTCGAAAAAGAGCAAATCGCAGAGCAGCAGCAGCAGGAGTCTCACAGCCTCCCTGCTGGTGACGACACAGTGCTGGCGGCTAAAGAGTACCACATGCTGCACGGCGATGGCGCGGGCGAAGTTCAGCACGCTGCTCAGCCCGATTGCCGAGACCGGCAGGGCTCAGATGAACTCGAAAACTCTTCGGCAGCTGATAGCTCCGACTTGCCTTTCAGGGGCTCCGGAATTCAAGCTAGACAGCTGCGAGGCACTTCTCACGCCGGTCTGAAAGGCATGCAACTCTTGAAGCGTCCGAGCAGGCGTTTGCAGCTGCCGCGACAACCCCCCAGGCTCCTGAGTGCTTTTTCTGGAGAGCAAAATCAAGATGAGGCGTGGGGAGGTGCCCCGGCGAAGCTCGGGAGTCCATTTAAGGGAGCATCTGGCCAGACACCCCCAGGACTCGTTCAAGAACTGCAGGATCTCTCAGAGTCGCACACGTCTGAGTCATTCAGGGAGCGCGTTGACAACAGAGACAATTTTCGGTGGAGGCTGAACCAAAATAGTGAACTATTCAAGAGCGCAGAGTCCACTGACGAAGGATTTCGATCTTGTTCCTGCAACGTGGACGATTCACCTGGCCTGCCGCCTGAGCGCAAAGGAGGGCAGGCGCCTCTTCTAGTGCCGCGTTCGAGAGCTCTCAAGAGCGACTTCGCGAAGGAATTGCCCTCAACGAAGCAGCGGAACGGCATTGATCACTTTGGCGGCCTTCGCATGCGGAGTGTGCCGGACCTGAATCTGCGTCGAGCCGGCTCTTCGCGCCTCATTCCCGAAATGGGACCCAGAAGCCTTTCGGACTTGTCTTCTGGAGCGATATTCGGGGAAAGCGGATTAGAAGGGCTCGAGTGGAGGCGCTTTGAAGCTGCTGCGGGCCACCCCACTCGGGGGTTTTCGCTGCCATTTGCAAGGAGGAAGCCTCTGCCGAGGGCACGCCAAAGGCCTCCCGAAGTGCCGCAGCAGCAGCTGCAGCAGCAGCAGCAGCAGCAGCAGGGAGCTCCGCGGCAGGCCGCCCATGTGCTCTTGAAGCCCATGAGCATGGCGGAGACGAACCGCATTCTCGACAGCGCAGTCGAGCTGGCTCTGCACAAGCCGGCTTCGCGTCCACGGGGGAGAAGTGGGGGCCGGGACTTGCGGGCCGAGAAGCTTGAAATGCTGGGGCTGACGGAGAAGGAGGGCCCCCCCGTTGCTGCTGCTGCTGCTGCTGCGCGGGGGGGCGTTGCTGTTGCTGGGGCCGGCGCCCTAGAGGACCGCGCTGGCTCAGTCACTTTTCAAGGGGCTGTGGAGCAGCGACTAGCGCAGCAGCTCCCTGCGTTGGCCTGCAGCATGCCTCCTATATATTGTGGTAATGTTATGTCTGCCTCGTCTTTGTGGAATCTGCAGCTGAGGAGGTCCTCCCGCGTAGAGAGGCGGCCACTGCCGCGGAGCTGCGGAGAACTGCTGGGAAGCGAAGACTTCACTGGAGAACACGAGGGCCACTTCGCGGGGGCCTTCGCAGGTGGCGGGCGCGTGGCTGCTGCTGCTGCTGCTGC